TCCCTCTCTCTCCCTCCCTCTTTCTCTCCCTCCCTCCCTCTCTCTCTCTCTCTCTCTCACACACACACACACACATGCACGCACATACGCCTTCATTTTCATTTTGCTTTCTCTTTCACATGTGAACCCCCGATTAAAATGGCTTTTGCTCAAACTGTGCTCTATCCCTGTGGCACCTCAATAATATTGATATTCTGATTGTGAGGTACAAAATTATCAGAAAACAAAAGTGCTGCAATATTTTAACGGTGTAAAGAAGGCCAGTCATTGTGACGAGGATGGTAACTAGTTTACTAGAGCCCATGGGCACGGCGTCCAGAACAATGGCCAGGCGCCAAATTTAAAAGCAAGGGTTGTACAAATCACTCTGGGTGTTCGGGTGACGGTACATCTTTGGATACCTGGCCCATGACATGTTTTTAGAGTTGCCACTTTACGGTTATTGTTCAAAATGTAGCTGTGCTAATTTCCATTTCCTCTATTAAAGGAAAACAAAAGACCCATCAAAATATAATAACACTTCAGCCAGATTTCAAATTGTCAATTGAGAGTAAAATGAAACATATTGATCGAAGGTATATTGATTTGGCATCCGTGTTCACTTAAAGAGTGCAATGATTGCATTAATTTTCTTCTTTCAGTTTGAGTGTTTTAAAAGGTAAAGATTCTTTTTTGTTAAAAGAACTGCCTGTACTTAGGGAGAATTGTTAACTTCTAGAGGCTTCTTCATAATATTTCATATTATTGCAGCATTAGCAAGTAACAGAATGATTCAATAAAACATAAAAACGAGATCAAGGAAAGAATTTGCCGTTTAATATTATTCACACTCCTTGGCAAAAATGTATATACGGAACAAAATTTAAAAAGAAAATAAACATGAAATAGCAATAAATTGTAAATAATATACTCGTAATTCGAATCTCGATTATTTGATAGAACGAATTATTTTCGTATGTTGGTACTATTCCCCGCCCCGCGCCGCTTCAGTTTGCGCGTGTTCACCCCCTTCTGGTTTTGGACGGAAACGATACCGAATGTTGCCCGTGCCCGTAGAAAGCTAAGCTTCACAGGCTGGCAAATAGCTACGGGGGTCGGTCAGAAAGTAATGCTCCTCACTTTTTTCTCCAGAAATATTTATTGGAAGAACCTGCAATTTGCACACAATATTAATACGAGATTATTCTACAAGCTCTATTTTTCCTCATAATTTCCATCGACTTGTATAGCCTTGCGCCAGCGTGAAACAAAGGCGCGTATGCCTTGTCGGTACCAAGACTTATCCTGAAGGCGTTGCCTTTCCTTTCAGGCCATCTTCGATTTTTCCTCCGCGAATAGCGTTTTTCAGTTTTTCAAAGGGAAGGAAATCGGCGGGGGCTAAATACGGATGAGGAGGCACAGTCCATATTTATCGGCGCTTCACTTCTGGCGACACTTGTGTGTAGTCGTGCGTTATAGTGTAAGAGCAAACCTTCTGCACAATTCTTCTGGGATTGAACTCTCGAAAAATGCGGCTTTAGAGTATTGAGAATGTTGAAGTATGAATTTAAATTAATGGTACTGCCTTTGGACATAACGTCAACATGAATGATCAGTATCTCAGAAGATTGATCAGCATGTCAGAACTCGACTGTGGCGGGATGTCCGGAGCGCGGCAAATCGTTTAGATCGCTTTCTTCACTTTCCGAAGCTCTAACTCGTTAACCCTTTCGTCCAACGGTACTCCTGGCGTCAGCAGAGGTGCCATGCGCGGCTCAAAAGCATTTGTGGAGTTTCCTTCTCCGCTGCGAGGAACTCATTCACTGCTCGCTGTTTGTAACGCACGTCGTCTACATCCACCATTTTAACAATTCGTTAAGGACTGTGGAACTGCCATTTGTAGGAGAGACTTGAAACTTCGTTCACTAATGCTGGAAATACGAAACTTCGAAGGGTTAACAACCACAACCGTCTACCATTATTGTTGCATGAAAGGGAAAAAGTGGGGCATTACTTTCTGACCGACCCTCTTAGTACGGCCGCAGATGTCATGCCTGGTGTGAAGTCATTACCGAATCGAAACACGAAACGACCGTTCTAAATAATCTGTTTTATAAATGCGGTAAAATGATTGTAAAAGATCCAGACTACCTTTGCATTTATTTTCGCGATTTTAACTACGAGTTGACGAATCGCTGTCCTAAAATAGTTATTTACAAATAACGCAGCCTTAGAATTGTAAAGCAAAAAAATTAGCAGGCCAAAGCTACTAGTGGCAGGCTAAAGCAGAGTCAGCACAATTGTGATGTCAGCGTCCTCTACTGAGCACACTAATTAATACACAATGCCATTCCTGAAAGGAATTAACAATTCAGGGAGAACGCAGGATGTATTTTTTAATGTTTCGGGACAACTGTATTTATTAGTCCCGTAGTGCACGTTACATTTCGGGAGGTGACAGGGTTCCTCCTCTTCTGGAACGTGAGATCCAGAGCCGATCTAATCGTCGGTTTGCGCCGTTTCCCCTACTCATCGACTGTGGAAATTCATCGAATAACTTAAAAAATCTCCAGGTCGTGTGTGAATTAAATGATTCAAACTTGTAGAGCATGTAGAGAAGTCACGAAGAATAACCCCACATTTTGCCAATGAACCTGTGGAAAATTCGTGGAAGATTTCATGCAAGTTACGAATGTGACATTCGCCCCTGTTTGTTAGGCAACCCTGTTTGCACAGGTGTTTGGCAGGAACATGAGCTTTTCTTAACGGCGTGAGAACCTGCCAGTGAAAAGTGACCTACCAAAAGCAGTGCGTGAGACGTTTCCTGGCAATCAGGAACAAATGCCATGTGTCTTAAGAAATTTCTCTTCTCTCGCTCTACACGTTTGTAACATTTATTCAGAGACACTCTGATAGTCACTTTGTTCAGGAACTCTGGGCTCCGTGGTCGCAATCACATATCCCCCCCCCCACACACACACACACCCATACGCTGACGCCGAAACATGGAAGATTGGCAACAATGTGCAGAAATCAGAAGATGGGCGGCACTTCAGAGCGAATTTAAAAGTATATATGAATTTATTGTTTCTATGTAGTAGTTCTCACGTAAATAATTGTGGGAGTTGTCATTGCCAACAATTATGTTTATTTCAATAGCATCTTTCGATAACCCATCGAAAACTGCTATTGAAATAAACATAATTGTTGGCAATGACAATTCATATAATTATTTAATTTTAAATGCCAACGACAACTCATCACAATACCAATAGTTCTCACGCAGTTCACTATATTTCTAATCTCTCAGACCACTCCACCAATTTCCTTCATTCTCGCCGGCAGCGGTGACACAGAGCCCAGAATTACTGTTTTCTGCAATGTCTCTGACCGGCAGGTCCTGTGGTTCAAGTCTCTTGAGATGCAAATTTTCAAAACTTGCTGTATAACTAGGCCGAATTCAACCTCTGTTTGGGAGAGAATTCTAGCGGCCAACAGGTATGATCTGCAGTTTTCCCTTGTTACTTCATTAATATGCAAATTCCGAAGCAGTACCTTAACAAACTGGCCACGAATCGCACGCGTTCATTCATTTCTTAGTCTTTGATTCACATATTCTTTGATTTGTGACATACCTTGGCAATTTCCTAAACCTATACTAACCTCAAAACTTCATGTTTTGCATTTTAATGGCTTTATTCTCATTATGTATCATGGCTATTTTTCACTAGTTTACATATATTTATGGCACAACATTCATTGCAATTATGATTTTTATTAACAAAGAATTTGAAAAATTCCTGTTAGGAGAAACTTGAGCACGTTTTCGAATTCACATCGAAGAAAATGTAGTTTTGTGTGTATAAAAAGTTGCACCGTTCACTGTGCATTGGCTTAAGTTGCAACACGGCCGATTTCGTCGTGAGAAGGCGAAGTGGCGCAGAGCGGGGCGGGGCGCGCAGGAAGCGGCTGTGAAACCCCAGCCTCGCTACAGCTTTATGGTTTAATGAATCTGTCCCGATCCGGCGCCCGCCGCTCGATGGAAAGTGCAGAGAAACCCGTCGCTTGCTCCCTTCCACGCTTCAACCGGCTCACAATGGGGCCAAATCCCGAAAAGCTGGCCAAAATGTTAAGACATAAAAGTTATTGCTTAGGGGCTTTTGGACATACGGTGGGCTTAGCTAACTTTGAAAGTACCGCATTCCAAACTTTGCCCGACTCTACCTACCTTTTATTTTCAGAAAAGGGCGTTCGCTTATATCTCTCCTTTGTATCAATTCAAATGTGAGGCGTGCGTGAATAACGACTGAGCTAAAGGAAGGCAAAACCTTGCTAAACTATGAATATTTTCGATTTTGCAGTTTGAAAAGTGGCATGACGGCAGAACATTTAATGTTTACACTTTTTATCTTTAAATGTACTAAAAGTTCTCAATTCTGTAGAGTTCCGGGACGAAATTTATGGATGTATTAGTTTATTATATTATCAAGAATATTAAACTGAAATTCAACTAAAGAGAGTCATTTTGCAATTCGTAGAAGTTTTTGCACTATGAAATGGATTACTCCTCCCCGCACAAAATATATCGATGGAATATTCCTTCGAAACGGTCTTGTGAATCCGTAAATTGTATCCCTCGTTCTAAATGTCAAAATGTTTATCCATGACTAAGAAGTGATATCTACCGCAATTGGACAAATGTCTAATGTCAATTGGACAAATGTCTCAATAAAAAAAGTCTTTTCGCAAGAATCATGATTTCTCCCGAAAATAAAGTAGAGTTAAAACAATGAGAGATTTCTTTTTGCAGTTATTCATCTTAATACTCTTATATCGAGCATAAGGAAACGTTCTCCAAGAAAATTAAGATCATTCACCGAAAAAACTACAATTGTAACATTTCATCTGAAAGATCGACAGCTTATGAAACAGCTGATGCATTACTAGAGAATATTCTTAGTAATTATGTTAGAGGTAGAGGAAAAAAGTGTGTAAT